ATTAAATTTTTTAGATTATTAATCTCTTGAAAAATACGAATCACAATCTAACAAACATTATAGATTAGTGGTAGATATCATTGATTGCCTCTTGCACCATATATTCACGGATTAAAACTTCATAAAATGACTATTTTAAGGTTTGAATTGAGAAGTCTTTGTTGTTTGCTATTTTTCCAGTATGCTAAATGGTGTGAGACATGATATGGCAGTGAGGTCAAACCTAAAAGCTTAAAAGTTACGGTGACAATTTTATGTATTATATATACATATATTTTTAGTCATTATTCAATTAGTCAATAATATTAAACAATTTAAATTATGCTATATGTACTAAAAAGTAAAAAAATAAGACATAAAATGTAAGAAAAATCAAATATCACGTTATAGAAGTCGTGCATTGGTCCATGACGTACCACATGTTTAACGTGACATGAGACATGAACCTTAAATCACTACACGCCATGGTAGCAAACATGACCAACCTTTTTAAACAATGCTATTTACTTTACATTCACACGTCGTGGTGTGTTATAAGACAATTCAATGTTGGATGGATAAATCTAGAGATATGTTAAAAGCACCCTTATATGCATTAATACCTACTAAATTTCTTCTAACACACATCAACATCATGACTTTTTTTTTTGATTAACCTCGATATCCAACATGTTATGTGAGCCGACTAATTCTAGGGTGACCACCTGCTTTGCAGATAGACCGGGGTCACCGCATTTGAACCTCCGTGGCCACAAAGGGATTTTTATTCCTCCTTGGATTTGAACCTGAGACCTCCTGGTACTTTTGATCTTTGGAGCCAAGCTCAAACCAATCAGGCATCACCCTTGTGGTTCATCAATATCATGACTTACTTTATACATTTACAACATATGATTTAATCTATTTTAATACAAATAAAGATGCATGTAGGCTGTGGCAACAACCTAAATCTATTACTATTCAAACCCACCAGGCAGTGGCTCATTAAAAAGTCAATGAACTAAAACGGGAGGTGTTCTAGCCGATGGGCAAATTTGTAATTTACTCTTTATATATTTTTTTTCCATTTTTTCTAATAAACCTAGAGGTTATAGGTAATTTTCATTCCCAATTAAATTATTTTTATGATTTCTTATTTACATACTTTAATAAGAAAAGACAATCACATGTTTAGAATCTCATCATCAAGTCAACAATAGATTTGCATAGTTTTAATGAAGTTATCAGACACGTATTATATATTAATAACAATATTTTCTCTACAAAAATGTTCTTCCTCTGGTTGACATAATTACATAGTCGAAGAGTAAATTCCGTAACATTCTTTTGTGGATTGAGTAAAAGAGTTAGTTGCATTACCTTTCGAATTTGACTAATTTTAAACGTAAAATCTTGATAAAATCAGGTTGATTAACAAACTTCAAAACCAAATTGGTCAAAAAGTTTGGATTTGTCGATCTGGCTTAGATCTAACGAATAATGATGAAAAGTCCTGATCGTTTTTGAGTTGTTGACAAGTGTGTGTTGAAGGATTAAATAAAAATTAAATAAAAATCATTGAATGGGCAAGAGACAAGTTCAAGTAATTACTATATGAAACCAAACCAAGTTTTTTCAGTTTTAAATTTTGCATATCTGTCGACCATTATTACGAGAGTAAACTTCAATTTTGGTCCATGAGGTTTAGTGATCTTTTTGAAAGTGGGACCTGTATTTTAAGAAGTCAAAAAGTCGTCTCTTAAGTTTGGATTTTGTTTTGCAAATAGGAACTGATCACTAACTCCGTTTATCTCCATCGTTAGTGCCAAGGCTAGCATCATACGAAATTGTTTTCCCTCTCTTTTGATCCAAACTCTTCACATTTGTTAAGATAACTCTTGCATTTTGTCATCTTTAATCATCGAACTTCACCCATGTTCACTGTTTTCATGGAGAAACAATGTCAGGCTCATCGTGGGTTTTGAGAAGCAAGTTAGAAGAACGTTTGAGTCCAATGGATATATATATATATATATATATATATATATATATATATATATTAAACATTCATTACCATCTTTTTATGAATTGAGGTCGATAGTAAGCATTCATTAATTGACTTTTTTCCTTTAATTTTGTTCATAGAGCTTTACCCAATATTGATAACAATAAGGATCAACTACTTGTTCATGAGTTCGATGCTATAATATCAGCATTAGGGTACAATGAGGTAGAAGCAATGTATTACCATTTCTTGATTCCTTAAAGTGACCTAGATATTGGCTTGCGAGCTTTAGGGAGAGAACAAGACGTGTTGAATCTCTTAAAAGAATGCCCATATGATGAAACTCATAGAACATGGCAAACCAAACATGTCTACTTACTTGTCATCCCCAAATCCCAGTAATGTTATTATGGAAATCATAGAAGAGGTTAAAAAAGAAGTTGTTAGACAAAAAATGTGTCTTGAATGAGTTGATACATAATGTGAGGGAAGTAATGTTCATCGAAAAACAACATGTGGAATTTTTTTTAATTGAAAAGAGAGATGTGTATCAAAAGATAGATTTGAATCAAAGCTTTGATGATTTAATTCATAGATTTGATCCTTTTTTTGGTTTGGAATTTGATTTACCAGAAATGAGACATGGAGTTGATTTGAACCAGAACCAGAACCAGGAAGTTGACTTAGGCCAAGGGGTTGACTTGAATTAGGGGGTTGATTTGAGCCAATGGGTTGATTTGTGGCAGAGAGGTGAACTGAACCATGGAGTTGATTTCAACTACGAAAGTGCACACATGGGATATTTAGAGTCATGATAGCAATTATTTTGATTCATTTGATGCATATATAGGAGATATCTATGTAGACTGGATGTGATTGGATGGAGAAGTAAGTGACAGGCAGAATGTTGATGGTGATGTAGATCCTTTTGATATTGACAACTTTTCTTCGGGCGATCAAAATGATGTTGCTAGTTTTCACAAAAAAGGTGGACATTATAGAAAAAGTAATGGACTTATTGACTTTTATTTAGGACAGACATTTGGTAGCAAGGAAACAATAAATAATCTAATCAAGCTACATTCAATTGAGACTAGGAGGGATATAGTTGTGAAAAATGACTCATCAAGAAATAGGTCCGTTTATAATGGCACATTACTTAAGCTAAAGGATTATTCTGAGTCAAGTGGGCCTGGTAGAGGCATAAAGGGTAAATGGAGAAAGTCCAATAGGTCCACTCGTCCATGAGTTTTGTACATCTCAACTTCAAAAAAGAAAGAAACCTAGAAAGTTAAACCTATTTGTTGGGTCTAGATGGGACGTTTATGAAGGTTCCTTTTTCGGAGCAAGTGTTATCAGTTGTGGGTATTGACCCAAATAAGACATATCTAGTGGAATATGTAGTAGTAGAGGTTGTGTCAACAGGTTCATGGATGTGGTTCTAAGAATGCCTTGAGCGCATATTTATGGATATAAGCTAACTTATTGATAAGCTAATTACTGGAGTTTATTGTCACTTTTTCAGTTATAATTTTGATTAATATTGAATGTCATTTATTATTATTAATTATTAATTAATATAAGTTAATATTACTTTCAATTTATTATTTAATTTTAATTATTATTAATTGCAAATTATTAATATAAATAATTTATTGAGGATTTAAAATTATTATTAATTTTTTCAAATATTTTATTATTATTATTATTATTATCTCAATATATTTAATCTTCAAAAAAATAAATATAACAATTTTAAAAATATTTTTGTAAATCACATAAAAGTTTTGTCTTAATTATTTTATTTTTTTTGAAAATTTATTAACTACTAATATATGTAAGGTTGACTAACTTTTTTTTATTAATATTACATGTAACAGTTATTTAAAATCACTATTTAATATATATATTTTATAAAATTTGTATTTGATTATATAAATCCATTTTTTTTACTTTATTATATAAAATAATAATGAATTAAATTGAAGTTTATTAATTGACATATTATATCATTTAATATTTTTAACATCTGAGTTATATTAATTAACATATTATTAGTGACTTTTTAAAATATATTATGAAATGTTAAATTTTATTAATTTTTAAACATGTTTTTTTTCGCATTTTACAATAACCAGCTAACTTATCAACCAATTTTACCAAACATATTTAATTCATCAACTAACTTATTAACAATCTGGTAATTTATCAATTAGTCTGCCGCCGAATGTAACCTTAACCTCTCTAGCTTGCCATCAAAGTATTTTTTATTTGAATTCACATCAAAGAATGACAATCTCCAACCTAATACTTTAACACAAAAATTGAGGTATTTTTATCTCCAACCCAACACTAAAAAAATAGAGATCCAAAATGGGTTTCTATATTTGAAGATAAATAAAGTGGACCTCTAAAAAATATATATTAATATTTTATTCAATTTTTCTTTACCTAAGGCACCGGGAAATATATACAAGAAATTGCCATTTTACAAAATGACTTCCACTTTTTAGCCATCTTAGAAATCCATTTATTTAAATAGCAAAAGTTTACAAAAACACTCTACGCATAAAAGAATTTTTGACGTAAAGTTTATTTTCAAATTAAAAAAAGAGTTTACGCAGAAACTTTACACTGAAAAAAATCTTATACGTAAAGTTTATTTTTAAAAGGAAAAAAAAGTTAAAAAATGAGTTTAGGTATAAAAAAAATGGGACTTTAGCATAAAAGTTTACTTAGAAAATATATTTTCTACATGGAGTCCTCTTTCTTGCATAAACTCCTTTATTTTTACGTAATTTTTTTTTTCTAAAAATAAACTTTACGGTAAAAAAAAATATTTTTTATATAAAGTTAAAAAAAAAAAAAACAAATTTATAAAATGGATAAAAAGTGAATTATTATTATAAAATTTCTCTAAGATACGCCGACTACTCGACGTGCTTCTCACGCTCTTGTAATCCATTTTTGTTTCACCTCCACCTCTAACTCTGTCTCTACCTCTCACCCTCTGTCACACACAGCGGATATGGCTCTCAGTTCACTTTCATCACTACCAATCAAATCCCTAAAATTTTCACCTTCTCACGGTGCCTTCAACCCAAATCCTCCCTCCAAATCCCTAATCTGTCGATTCAATCCACAAAATGCGACTTCTACCAAAGGTATTCTTCTTCTTCCGGATTTTTATTCTTTCAAAACATGTTTGAGTTGCATAAAGTATCATCGGATGTTTCAGATGCAGAACCGAAGAGATGGAAAGCTCTGGTTTCAACTGCATTGGCAGCTGCCGTGATTACGTTTAGCTCTGATCTGTCTGCCTTAGCTGATCTTAATAAGTTCGAGGCAGATATTCGAGGTGAATTCGGCATCGGATCAGCTGCTCAATTCGGTTCTGCTGACCTCAGGTAGATTTTAGAAACTTATTAGCATAAGAGGGTAAGCACGTAAAAACGCATAATCTTTTGAAAAGATTTTGTTGTATAGTGGTGGCTTCAGCTCAAGTTCTATTGAAATTTTTGCAATTTTCTTCGCAGGAAGGCAATTCATGTGAACGAGAATTTCAGGTAAATTATTGAATTTTGTTCAACAAGAGAAATTTGTTGATTTAATAGATATAAAATTTGCAAACTCTGTAATGATGTAAAATTAAAGCCTATCCTGCAATACATGCACTTTGACCAAGAAAAGAACAGGATGCAATTCACGTTCCATCATGAGTAGATTATACATAGAAAAAGTAGATATAATGTGATTTGAGAGCCCATCATGAACTACTTGTATGATTGATCGATATTGAAATGATTATGGACCTTTTATTGAGCATAGAACAAGCCAATTTGGCAAATAACTGCTTTAACATCCATTCAGTCTTCTTTCATGCTTACTTTAAGAAAATGTGTGATACAGGAGAGCAAATTTCACATCTGCTGATATGAGAGAATCAGATTTCAGTGGCTCAACATTCAATGGTGCATATCTTGAGAAAGCAGTAGCGTACAAAGCAAATTTCACAGGTAAAAGAACTCCATCCCTCGATATGTGTACTAGGTTATCCCTTTCTTGAGGAAAATGTAACCTAAAACCAAGTTCTATCATCAACCATTGCAACAAATGAAGATATTGCCTTTACTCTTGCTGGGACTTGGCCTTTCTACCGATTCTCCAATAACAATTTGGTGCAGCGGCAAAAGTTTACACAACCAGCATGTTTATGTTCATCTTCAGTTCTTACTCTTCTAATACCCCACTAATTTGAACATCCTCAGAAATCAGAAGTATGCTTTCTCTGTGCCACATGACTTGCAAATCAAAAAATATGCTTTCTAGATTCCGTTTTATGGCTACCTTCAAGTCTTCTTGACTCAAAGGTGCTGCACCGGTTCCACATCCTGGAGGAGAACATCTAACAGCTGAAACTCTTGTTCTTCAAGAATGAAACTCTTCACAAGGATCAGTGTGTACATTGGGTACTTTATAAATAGAACTTTCATGGGACCCACTTTCTGTGGCAGAAGGTTCAACATCAGTCTTATACTTCTCTAAATCAGCAATTGAAAGTAATCTTCATTTGACCCTGCTATTTGGTATCATTCTACACTTTCTCCATGGATATATCAATTCCGTGTAAGGGCTCAACATGACTACCTTAAGCCTTTTATTGCCGGCTTCTGTTAGCACTTTTTTGATATTGCTTATTGGCTCATCCTCATAGCTTTCTTCTTCATCATCATCCCCACATATCTTACAAGTTAACCAATGGTTCTCCAATTCTGTGAAATCGTTCTTTAATTCTTCCTCAATTAGAGGTATGGCATTTCTCCCACATCCTGGAGGGAAGCATCTTAGTTGAAACTCCTCTTTCAATATAATGTGCCAATGTGTCGGCATTAATCACATCAACAGAATCAGTGTCTTCATGTTCTAGTGCCATATGTCTTGTGTCATAATCTGAACCGAGCATTTATCTACTAATAGAATTTCCACCAACCAGAGAGTCCATTTCAGAAGGATCCAAGTCATCCTTCAAATCATCATCACTGAATTCCTGGGAAATGTAGGCAGTGCCAACTACATCAATGCTTTTTGTATGGTAAGTCAAACATTCCTCTATTAATAGAACCTTTATCAGATTCAACTTGGCTGGCATTATCTTTATAACTACCACCAGCGATGCCCTTTGGAAGTTCATGAACCAAAGACACTTTCCGTTGTTTAGGCAATTTGGAAACACCACTATTTTGACTTTATATGACTTTTAAGGAGATCAAATACTTCTATATTATCCAGAACCTTTGACTGTTCCTTAGAACATATGACACTTTCTTCTTGAATTACATGAATCCTAGGCTTGGTCTTGTCATATTCTATTCATGTGATTCTGAAGCAGCGTAGATTTGCTGAAGGATCTACAAACTTCTAAACCCTTTTGGGTTGAAAATTACAATTCGTAAAACTCGATAAACTAAGAGAAAAACTTTTAAAACTCACAAAGGAGAAGAAATTGTATTGATAATAATGTGTATAACAATAAAAACAATGAATCTTATTTATAGCTAAACTAATTAAGATAACCATGGAAACTAAATTAATCCTAATTCTTAATTAACTAGGAAACTATTTAAATAATAAAAAAGATAACTAAATAATAATCCTNAACCATGGAAACTAAATTAATCCTAATTCTTAATTAACTAGGAAACTATTTAAATAATAAAAAAGATAACTAAATAATAATCCTAATCTAATTTAGAAAACAAATAACTAATACTTTTAATATTAATCCTAAATTAATTAAGAAACAAAATAATTAAATAAATAAATAAATGCAATTTGTTCAGGACTGTTAAGAACTCACTTGCGACCAGGTATGCGACCCAAGTACCGGGAGAGATTGCGTAGGCCACTATTAACGAGTTCTCGATGTAGTATTTTGGGCCTCTTTCAAATTCGTTTCTTTCTTCTTCAAAGATTGAAGAAAAGCCTCGTGAACTGCCAAAACCTCTCTGTATCAGTCACCCTCACCTGAAAAGAACTCGCCCTCGGGTTAACTTGAAAATCATCTTCACTCGATTCTCTCGAACCTTGATGCGATACCAATTCATTTAAAGAAATTTCTTTCTTTGAAACATGATCTATAAATCGGTCTTTAGATTTCAGGAAGATTGAGAAATCGTCAAGTTCCGAAGGATGGTGTCGTGATTGCTTCCACACAAGTGAGACTCTGTCAAACTCGAAAGGATAAAAAGTTACATGAAACTTACTGGGAATTGTCTTGATTTGTTCTGGAGTCTCGTGTACTTCTTTTGGAATCTTGACCTCGACTTTTTCTGCACTCATTAGTCCTTCGATAATGGTAGGCCGAACGACTTCAACTTTCTTCATGTCTTTTATCTCTTGCTCGTTAGTAGCCATGATAAGAAGATTGTCAGTTTTCTTGTCGAGAATCTTTTCAAAATTGCTCACCGATGCCATCCCAATCTTTTGGTCGCCCCAACGGAATAACATAACATTATCCCGTCCCTTATAAGTAAAATCGTTATTGAATTGCCAAGGTCGGCCCAATAGGATGTGACACGCATCCATGTCAAGGACATCACATAGAACTTCCTCTTGGTAATATTTTCCGATCGATATGGGTACCCGACAAGTTTTGTGACTCTAACTTGCGGGTCTTTCTTGACCCACCCAAGAGAATAAGGAGCCTCATGGGGTTGAGTAGGTAGGTCGAGATGATCGACTAGCTTTCTAGACACAATGTTTACGCAACTTCCGTTATCAATTATGAGATTACATACCTTTTTATGGATGGAGCAATGAGATCGAAAAGGGTTATTTCTTTGTCCTTCTTCTTTGGATGAGAGGAGTACTCGTTGGAGTACGATGTTGATCTTCTCTTAAAAGTCCTCCTCAGCAAACTCGTCACCATCATAGTCTCCATCCTCCCTGTTTTCTTCGTTGTCTACTAATCCAACTGTTCTTCAGTTAGTACATTCATTGGATCTATGACCCGGTTGTCCACTTGTCCGCATCGATAACACTTGAGGCCCATTGGTTTGGTGTACGGATTGGGGGTTCTTAGAGGAGCCATATTCCCTTGTGGTCCTCGACTAGAACTGTCTTTGTTGGCTCGAGGGGGTGGATCGGTGTCTCGTGGGTTTGTAACTCTTTTTCCATTATCAATGGCAGGAGTTTGGACTTCGGTAGCTCCTTGATATCGTACTTCAGATTTTTCAATTAACTCCGCTTTTAGTTCCAAGCTTGAAGCTTCCGCGACGGTCCATACGGACTGTAGTCCAATTTTATCTTGGATTGTTGACTTTAAACTGCTGATGTAACGAGTGTAATGATTGTATATTTTATAATTTCCAATAATTACAAAGTGGGAAATACAAGATTAATATACACAATATAGTGAAAGAAAAGAGGCTAATTCTATGGTATGTTATAGCTAAATGAAAGGATTACCATCATTACAAATATACACATTCTAAATATACATGCGGCTGAGAATTAGGAATTGATAATGCAATATTCTTTGTGATTCGGTTATGATTTGTTGATATTCCTTATACGCCCCCGAAAGATGGAGGATCCGTCGGATACTCCGATCTTGGATCGATTTCGAAGAAACGGTGCTCGAGCCAACGGTTTGGTAAGCATGTCCCGCAAGTTGATCTTGTGAGCTGATGTGGAGGACCCTTAATTTGCCAGCGGAGACTTGTTCCCAAACAAAGTGATAGTCAAGAGCAATGTGCTTCATGCGGGAATGATACACAGGATTGGCACAAAGGTAGGTTGCTCCCGTATTATCGCAAAACAAAGTCGGCGGTTGACTTGTAGTGAGACCAAGTTCATGTAGTAAGTTCTTTGTCCATACGAGTTCAGCGGAAGCATTAGCTAGGGCCTTGTATTCCGCTTCCGTAGATGAGCGAGAAACTGATTTTTGGCGAGTGGACTTCCATGAAATGATGTTTGTACCAAGATAAAGAACATATGCAGTGGTTGACCGACCGGCATCATTTACACCCCCCAGTCAGAGTCAGAAAAGGCCGAGAGAGTGAGATTGGAATGGCGATTTAGGAAGAGGCCATGATGGATAGTGCCTTTGAGGTACCGAAGAACTCGTTTAAGAGCTTGCCAGTGTGTTTGGYGCRGACTGTRCATGAATTGAGACAGCTTGTTAATGGCATACGAAATGTCCGGTCAAGTGAATGCTAGGTATTGAAGTGACCCAACCAGTTTTCGGAATGGAGTGGCGTCCACCGATGGAGATGAGTTAGTGTGCGATAAGGGTTCAGTGGCACTGAGAGGCGTCATGACATCCTTTGCGCCATCCATGTGAAACTGTTGGAGGATATCTTGAATATAACGATGTTGTGACAAGAAAAGATCCGTAGGTGTAGGAATAACCTCAACACCAAGAAACTGATGAAGCATGCCAAGATCTTTGAGAGAGAATTTTTGGCTCAAAGCTTGAATGAAGTGATCGAGGAAACGGGAATCATTTCCCGTAAGTACGATATCATCTACATAAACCATGAAGTAACAAATGACGGTTCGATGTTGGTAGATAAAAAGAGAAGCATCCGCTAAAGATTTGCGAAATCCAAAGTGAAGGAGGAATTGAGTGAGCTCAGTGTACCAAGCGCGTGGAGCTTGTTTTAAGCCGTATAGAGACTTTTTGAGCTTGCAGATATGATGTGGATATTGAGAGTCTATATAACCTGGTGGTTGAGTCATGAAGACATCCTCATGAAGAGTGCCATGAAGGAAGGCATTGTTTACATGTAGCTGTCGTAACGACCAATTTTTAGATAGTGCAAATGGAGAGAATAGTGTGAATGGTGATGGGTTTGGTGACGGGACTGAACGTATCGAAGTAGTCCTTCCCATGTTGTTGGAGGAAGCCCTTCGCCACAAGACGAGCTTTGTATTTGACAATGGAACCGTCACAATTACGTTTGATCCGGAAAACCCATTTACAACCAATGGGTGTGTGGGATGTCGCGGGTACAAGCTCCTATGTTTGATTTTGAATAAGGGCATTAAATTCCGCATCCATTGCATTGCGCTATTGCGGATCTTTAGAGGCTTGAATGTGAGAGGTGGGTTCAAGGTTGGGTGGAAGCGGGTGGAGAGTGGTGGTGTTTACGGTATTAGAGTTGTAGTATTTGGGATTGGGTTTACGGTCACATTGAGGGCGAGTAGGTGGAGGTGGTTGGAAAGTAGGAGACTGGGGTGAAATGTTGGTATCGGGTGTGGCCGTTTGGGAGTGGATGGTAGAAGATGTGATATCGGGTTGAGGAGATGCTTCTGCGGTATCGGGTTGAGGGGTGATGTTGGGGAAAGCATCTGAGGTTGAGGAAGGGATGGGAGTAGATGGTTCCAAAGGTTCGGTAGTGGGTGGAGTAGTATTATTGTGAATAGGGAGGGGAGGGGAGGGGAGGGGGAGGTTGGTTGCATGGGATGGTTTACGTGTGCATGGGTAGGCGAAGGTGATGGGATAGGAGTGGATAGAGTATGAGGTTTTGATTTTTTTTTTTATAGTAGGTATAAATATTTCAGGTGTAGAAAGAGAATTCATAGGAGTGCCTTGTGTGGTGAATGGAAAGATATGGTCAATGAATTTAACATGACGGGAGTGATAAAGGCGGTGTGAGGTGGGATCATAGCATTTATAAGCCGATTTGGAGGAGTAACCGAGAAAAATACACTTGGTGGAACGTGGATGGAGCTTGGATGAAGCATAGGGTCGCAACCACGGGAAACATAGACAACCAAATGGTTTTAGTTTTGTGTACGTTGGTTGAAGTTTGTATAGCATTTCATAAGGTGTCTTGAAGTTTAGAATTTTTGTGGGTAGTCGGTTGATGAGGTAGACGGCGATTTGAAAAGCGTGAGACCAAAAGTTTAGTGGCAAGTTTGCATGGTGAAGTAAGGATAAGCCGGTTTCAACAATATGTCGGTGGCGTCGTTCGGCGACACCATTTTGTTCCGGAGTGTGTGGGGGAGTGGTAAAATGGGAAATCCCGTGCTTTTGAAGGTAGGCAATCAAGCCAATGTATTCGCCTCAATTGTCAGAAAAGAGGGAGACAAGCGGTGTGTTAAAGAATTTTTCAACTAGAGATTTGAATTGTGGGAATAAGATTGCAACATCTGATTTCCGTTTAATGAGGTAAAGCCATGTGTATTTAGAATAAAAGTCGACAAAAATGACGTAGTATGCATACCCATCATTAGAGGTTTGAACCAGACCCCAAACATCCGAGTAAATAAGCTCAAGTGGTTTTGAGACCTTAAATGAATTGTCACCAAATGGTTGTTTGTGACTTTTATTTAGAGAACAAGCATTACAGTGAAAAAAAGCATTAGACATTTTATTAGAACCAAGTCCTAAGTTATTGAGCAAAAGTTTTAGAACTTGAATAGAGGGATGCCCAAACTTGTGGTGCCAAGAAAGAAGCGATCCGGATGTCTTGATGTTTGAGTTGAGTTGATGAGGAAAAGTAGAAGCATAATAAACGTCATTAATGTTCACTCCCCGCATGAGATGCGCCCCCGTGCGAAGATCTTTAACAAAAAAATGAAAAGGGAAGAATTCAACAGATACGTTATTAGTTTTGCAAAGCTTAGCGACTGAAACGAGATGATTACGTAAATGAGAAACAAGTAAAACATCGTTTAAGGATAGTTTGTGAGTAGAGGTGAGAATGGAGGTGTGGCCGGTGTGAGAAATAGAGAGAGTTTTACCATTCCCGAGTACAATCTCATCGGGCCCGCCATAGTCTGAGAGGTGGTGTAAATAAGACCGGTCATGTGTAGCATGATGAGACGCTCCAGTATCAAACATTAAGGGTGATGTGGTAGCGTGGAACTTGACACAGAAGAGTTCACTGTGGGGTTGTGATGCGGCCCCGATCCGGACGAGTTCACAGCAACATTATAATCTTGTAGAAACCGTTGAAGCTTCCGACAATCTTTTGTATCATGACCTGGAATGTTACAGAAGTGACAAAAAGAGTTATTTCGATTAGTTCGATAATTATTCATTTGTGTGTTGTTGAGATGGGGTGTTCCTTGGCCCAAATGAGTTGGGCCGATTTGAGTTTCCGGCTGTAGATGAAGGTCGTGAAAAGGGCCTGGCTCCTTGACGTTGGGTGCTGTTGACGGTAGCAACGAGGGTTGCTGGTGTAGAAGCTTGTAGCGATCTCTCATGATCTACAAGTTTCTCATAGAAATCAGAGAAAGTGATCAATGTGTCTCGAATCTTCAAGGCGGCAGAGATTTCTTTGTAATCGTCACCCAGGTGGGTGAGGATGTGAACGATGAGATCATCATCATCAATCGGCTTGTGAGCCAAGGCTAATTCATCGGCTATAGCTTTCATCTCGTTGAGGTATTCTGCTACAGGTTTGGTGCCTTTGCTATTCGTAGCAAGTTTTGATCGAAGGGAGATAATCCGGGACCGTGAGACACCGGCATAGCTCTCGGTGAGGCGTGTGAAAAGCTGGTTAGAGATCTCAGCAGATGAGACGATTGGTTGAATCGTATCCGAGCAACTTCCAAGAAGTGCCCTGAGAAGAATTTGGTCTTGGCGAAACCAAAGACGATAGGCGGGATTCGGTTTTCCTTCAAGTATTTTTGGTGGTGGTTCGGTTCGACCGTCAACAAACTGTTCGAGTTCAAGACCCATGAGCATGGCTAGGACGTGTTTGCGCCATGAGGGAAAGTTGGTTGTAGTTAGTTTGATTGGAAAATGGGTGTGGGTTGAAAGTTCAATAATGGTGGAGGAAGACATGATGTGTCTGTTGTTTGGACAAATAAAAAGGGCAGCAAGGGTGGTTTTGATCGGAAAAACTCAGAGGAGTTGGAGAGCTTTGATACCATGTAATGATTGTATATTTTATAATTTCCAATAATTACAAAGTGGGAAATACAAGATTAATATATACAATACAGTGAAAGGGAAGAGGCTAATTCTATGGTACGTTATAGCTAAATGAAAGGATTACCATCATTACAAATATACACATTCTAAATATACATGCGGCTGAGAATTAGGAATTGATAATGCAATATTTTTTGTGATTCGGTTATGATTTGTTGATATTCCTTATAACGAGCAACCCTTTGACCTTCTGATTCTCCGATTTCATTTCGTTCGGATAACCGTAGGAACTCCATGGTGTAGTCAGTGACGGATTGTGTACCTTGGTTGCAGTCAAGATACGCCATGATCGAACCGGTCCTCTTCGTTGGCGTTCGGATAACCAAGAACTGAGAATGGATGTAGGACTTCTAATATATGGACTTGATGAAATGCTCTTGGAAAGTCAGTGCATATATAGTTCTTGGTTTCGCTCTACCCCTGACAATATCATGATCAATATGCTTACCTGATGTGTTTTTAGGTTCAACCAAGACCAGAGGTTAGACCTCTGATAAATTGGCGTGCAGAGTGACCTGATCAAATGTTATTGGGAAGTAGCGCTTTGCAGAAAACTTTCTTGGTTTCCATTTCCACTTGGTTGTACCAAAAAAATAAGCATTGGTGCCCTCCACCCCACAATAATCATAAATAGTATATGAAGCCATTGAGTTTGAGTCATGGCATGAGCAAATGCAGGTTTATCACCCGTTCAGTTACTGAAACATAAGAATAAAACGGAGTCAAGTTGGATATTTTAGAGGGAGAAAGTTAAAACATATATACTTTTCAGATGAGGATGTACCTGGTTTTTAAACCCAATTAAAAACCAATTACTATTATCTCATTACATGCCATCTTTACAAATACCAACACAACAGTAGATTATAACTACTCTTTAGCTACAAGAAGATATAATGTGAAAGTGAAATACCATATTCATCTTAATTTCTAGAAGGAAGTAGAACCAATCCCAACTACTGCCCGTCCAGTCGTCAATTATAGGGACACACTCAACCCTCCTGCGAGGTGAAAAAACTCAGTTGGGGGTTGAACCTTGGATATAAATGACTGTAGCCTGTAGGCCTAACTTACTTGGAATAATCCAGATAAACTTCCCAGCTGGTGAGATCATCAGCCAGATGATTACCTTCCTAAAAGCTATAAGCAAATGAGAACTCCAAAGTAGGAGCAAGGCTTCGCCTGTACAAATTTACCCAAGGAGTCGATCCATCGTGATATAAAACCAGCAATGAAGCTGGAATCCATTCAACACTTGTTCCATCCCTTTATACTGCTTTCCTCCATTTTTGTGGGACCCATTTTCATTTTCTCTTCATGCCAAACAAATGGGTCCGAAAATCACATCTTACTTCTCACACCATATAAATAGGACCACAAAATGGAAGGTTAAATGGCCACCATGAATGAACCCTACATTTGCAGAACTCAATGCTGGTTTGAGACAAGACAGAGTCAGGCACACATAATCAAAGCGACAACTCCAATGGAACAGACCCATATAAGAGTAAAAGCATTTTTTTCCATGCAAATCTACCTATTTCAACTACAAGTCTTCTCATAATTTGCAATCATATTAGACAAAAAACAGTTTAGTCGCACTATTTCTAATCAAAACTTGATCTTGTTTCTCAACAGGGGCAGATCTGAGTGATACATTGATGGATCGCATGGTAAGCCAGCTCAAATTTTGGCAGCATGCAACTGCATTTGTTCGATATTTAGCTATAGCCAGCAATGTATAATACATAAGCTGCTACCCTAGCTATTGCTATGTTTAACTCTCATTTTATCTAAAATAAAAAAATTGGTTTCGGAAGATATGTTCAATGAAGATACTCAAGAATAACCTTCCATTTTTGGTTTCGTGCACCAGGTCTTAAATGAAGCTAATCTCACAAATGCCATCCTCGTGAGAACAGTTCTCACCCGCAGTGATCTTGGGCGTGCGGTTATTGATGGCGCTGACTTTAGTGATGCTGTTTTGGACCTTACTCAAAAACAGGTGCATTTCCAATGATCATAGAAAACCCTTGCATATTAAATATAGTAAAAGACTGAGAAAGCAATAAAGAAGAACCAGTCCACATAAGATGTGGGCATGGTCTTGATATCAAAAGTCTCAATCTCAAGTCTTATACGCCAAAACGTCTAAAGCCATCAAGATGAACTTCCTAGAAAGTCTAGGAGTTCACAGGTAATCCTAATAATATATGAAATGCATAATGCAGAGTGGACAAATATATACCTGGGCGCCTGCATACTCTACACTTGCATTAGGCTCAAGGTATACAAATTAGAATAATCTTTATAGGGAACAAACGTAATATTGTATCCACTATGCAAGTGATGGTGCCGTGTTCCATTGTAGACTCGTGTAACACGCTCCCTAAATCCCCAGAAGGGCGTATGGGAAATACAGCTACAAAGCATGCTCAACGGATGACTTCTAAACATTCAATCTCGATATTGAATTAAAATCTAAATCATCCAAATAATTACATTCATTCCAAATCTAAACAGTGGAAGTCTTAAAACTAAACCAACAAATCAAGTGAGTCCGTGCCATTAATTCAATTGTGTGTTCATCAGGCAGTCTCGAAGTACCTGGAAATCTACCGTAACAGTTCAATTTCTGTTCCAATTCCATATTAATTCAATTGTGTGTTCATCAAATCATCAGGGGTACCTCATGGTTGCACACAATCATATAAAGTACGGTTTTATCAAAAGTGATAAGCAGATTACCCCCTACAATTGATCACTTTGGCTCTTCATCTTTTGAAATTGGTTAATTATATCTTCTTCGTACTGTATCATGGCCATCCCCTGGGAAAATCATCTTGTCCTCAAGGTGGAAATTGTTGCAATTCTTCCCATGTATCGTTGTTGGAAGTGGTGTTTTCCCAGTGAACTAAGAGCTGAATTTCCCACTTGGTGGAAACTAGTCTCTCTCTTAAAGAAGTAGCACTGTTGTCGCATGCTATACGAAACGTGGGACAGAGAGTTCTTTCACGTCCTGTTTTGTTCTATTACCGAATGCAGCCTAAGCTATGAAGGGGTTGACTATATATATATATATATATATATATATATATATATATATATATAATAACCAATCTTATATAGGAATTTTAGATTGCAATAATAGAAGGCAAATACCAAAAGACAAATATGTTGAAAAGAAGTAAAAGTAGCAATAGAAGAAGGCAAATACGAATGGTGTGTTGATTATGTTTGACAAGACTTAAAAAGTGTTAATGATGTAGGCACTTTGCAAGTATGCAAGTGGAACAAATCCCACAACAGGAGTTAGTACGAGAACAAGCTTAGGGTGCGGAAACAGTAGACGGAATGCATACGGCAGTCCATCTTCCCCATTGTTAAGTGCTCCACCACAGAAGCTTCTAGACCGCGATGGATTCTGCGATGATGGCACTGGACTCTGTGATGTAAAGTAGTTAGTCCCTCCCAAAGACCATGTAAATTAGAGACACATTTATATGATAAATTCTGAATATATATATATATATATATATATATATATATATAGAGAGAGAGAGAGAGAGAGAGAGAGAGAGAGAGGGTGTTACATTACATGCATGGTATTCGACTACTTAATGATTTCAGTATCTGTTGCTCTTGAATCATTCACAAGTAATCTTTTAATAGTTTTCTTTTATGTAAAACCCTGAAACCTTGATATCTAAAACTGAAATTCACCATAGGTGTGTGTTCTTTCTGTCAACAAGATTTATGCAAATAGTATATTTGGAGAGGTAGAAAGGTTCAAGGAAAAGTTTCAAAATAATCCAAACAAATTTTTAATTATTAAAATCCCTACACTTTTTCTTTTCATCAATAAGTTATCCAACTTTTAGAAATTGGTTACTTATATGCTACATATTATCAATCCAAAAATTTAACTATAACTGACTAAAACAATTAACGTAAAAAAAAAAACTTACATCAATTTTAACGTTCTCAAACCCTACGTTCCCTCAAACCTCTTGTACTTATTATCGCACCTTCCCTTCTTCACACCTCACCGCCTTATCGTCATTCTTTCTCTACCACCGCCCAAACCCATCACAGTTTTTGGTGCTAATATCGATCTTCCTCTTTTTGATCAAATTTTTTTTTTTGTTTTTCGATCCTCACTTTTTTGATCTATCTATACAAATTCCATAAAATTGTTGTAAAAGAGTGAGAATCATAAGACAAAAAAACAAATCTAAAAGAGGGAGACTGATGATAAAAACCAACAATGATGATGGACGGTATGAAGAATAAATGACGATGGGAAGATGAGGGGGAATGATGTTTGATGCAATGGTTTGAATGTCGTGATCCTTGGTGACCATGAGATTAAAAATGATTATGGATGGAGATCATTTCTTATGATTCTCACCTTATCTCTTCTTCGCACACGATTCTTCATTTATATATTGGGAAGGAATCACATAAAAACCAAGTCATTTGTACAAATTGTACAAATCATTTGATTTCATTGTTTAATTTAATAAAAATGTTTCATATAATTATTTTCTTGGTGAAATTGTTTCATACGTTTTTGTTTCTATGTAAAAATGAAATTGTTTCATGTATTTTTCATTTTGCTGATTTTTTTTCTAAAAATAATATAATAAAGATAATAATGTCTATAATTAATGTCTTCCACAATAAAAATGACTAACCTACCCTTATAATTAGAAAAAGAAAAAACAAAGAAAAATTATTATTGGTTGAATGACATTTGTACGGTTTATACAAATGACTTGATTTGCATTTGATCCCTCCTATATGTGTGTGTGCGCACGCACGTGTGTGTGGGTTAAATCATGTGAGGATCAAAAAAAGTATTGAAGGTCAATCTTAATCATTAATTGAATTTACTCTACGGTTATGAAAAACGATTGTATTTTTGTAATATTTTTGAAATTTGAAACTAAATATTAGATAAATGGCAAGTTGAAAGGGACATTCTAGGCATTTGACATCCAATCCATAGTCAACAATGATGACTATCGAAATTATATTAATTACAATAAATTTTAACTTAAAAATATATTAATTCAATGAACTTTTTAACCAAAAATTTATATAAAAAACAAAAGGAACGTTTTATCTTCTTCAATTTGACACGAGTATCATTAGCTTTTTACATTTTTTTAGTAATTGCAATTTTTATGTGAAACAGTAAAGTGATTTAACTTATATGTTATTTCACCTTATAAAACAACACTTTAGTATTTCACATCACATTTAATGTCATTTTTTTTTCACATGTGAAACAACACTACATTATTTAATCATGTGAAAACTATGTTGTTTCACAATATGAAATAACACTTTAGTGTTTCAGATCTTATTTTACGTCAACTTTTGTTTTATTTTGTTTTCACATTATGAAACAACGCTACAATGTTTCACCTTAACAATTTATTGTTTAACATTAGCGTTATTATGTTGTTTCACAATATGAAAAAACACTTCAATGTTTCACTTTCACTTTCACATCAATTTTGTTTTGTTTTCACATTGTCAAATAACATTAATTTTGTTTCAAATATAGCGATATTGTATGATTTCATTATGTGAAATAAAACTAGTGTTTATAAGTGATATTTTTTATTTATTTATTATATTTTGTTTTCTCATGTGATGTTTTTCTTATTTAAAATAGTCAAATATATTTTATAAAAATGTAAATCTTTCTATAATTTAACAGTAAATAATGTATGTGTGAGAAAGTAAACGAGTGAAAATCAAATTTATAATACATTAAACTAATGAAATATAAAATATTATTATCAATTAATAAAAATTAAAATATCTTATTATTACATATAAATTATATCACATAAGATTGAATTAAAACAAAATAATAATTTATTCTAAATTTTGATATCTATAAAAAAGGAAGTGAAAAATAATTAAGAAAATAAAAAATTATCATCATATCCTTCCTTAATTATAGATGAAACATTATATTAGTTAAGGTTGTTACATTAGAGTGATTAGATGGTTGAGATTAGTTCTCAAAGCCTAGATTTAACATTGTTCAAGAAAGCCTAGATTAGTTCTCAAAGCCGGGATGTCACGTTGTTCAAGAAAGCCTAGATGTTGTTGGAGTAAAGAATCGTCAACAAGGGCGTTCTATTGCGTTTTGTAGATTCTTATTCAAGACTTGTATCATTTGAGTTGAATATATTCAAACAAAAAGCTGACATGGATGTTATGGGTAATTCTTTTTGTAAGTTGGTTCACATCCGAAATTTAACGGTTCATGTTTTTATAATCAACTCGATCCTCGATTGGGTCGGGGGCAAACGCCTATAGAAAGATCGCTTGGATTTATCAAAGGTTTGCTGGTTTGGTTAGTTTATTTAATTTTTCTCCCTAAAAGAGAGGGATAGAATTTCTCTCTTTTGACATCTATAGTGGGCATCCAGTGGAGGGCTCGAAAAGCTTCATCTAGTACCGAACCTATAATTTGGATGATACATCCCAGGTTCTTTTTTTCAAACGTGGAAACCCAAAACCAGAAGTATTAACCTTGCATACTTAGATATGATCAAACAAACTGTCCTATTAACATAACAAAAAACTAAGAAGTTTTTAATCTTTACGGTAACATATATATTTTTAAAAGACAAAAAAAAAAAAAAAAACTATATGTTAAAATATTTTAGGCCTTTTTTCTTACATAGGGATTGATTGCAAATGAATCACGAATATATGTTTCATTTGTTGACAAGTATCATGTTCATTATAGCCTTATTATCTTGTTGGAAATCGGTTATCATTCATAACATTTTTTGTTCTAATACAACTATAACAACAGAAAAAATTTAAAGTAATTGTACGACTCATAATTGATGTTAAAAGAAATTTTGTAAAACGTTCTTATAATATTTTAAATGTTTTATCATTAAATGATATATTTAAATAATCTCAATCAAAGATGGACCTCGAAATTTTATTAAATCGTGATTTCATTTTACTATAAAAAAGGAAGTTTTAGATATATTTTATAAAATCATCGTTAATCGGTTGATTAGATTTTTTTTTTTTTTTGGTATATAAGATCTTATGTTCGAATCTTTTATTCTAATTTTTTTTGGATGATGAACAAGACTAGGTATCCCGTGATCCCGATAATACTAATTTATTAATTATAGAAAAAATAAAAAAGTTTTAAGGTTTTGAGTCTTAAAAGAAACCACATGCAGCCATCATTATGATCATAGTAATTATATAGTAGCATTAAACAAGGTTAATCAATTTAGCCAACAATTCAGCAAGGCATCATAACAATGTCATAAGAGTGCTAATTAAATGTTGTTTTATTTAACAAAGTGTACTGGAATTTATTATAAGTAATTTACATAACTTATAATTAATATTAATTACAATAAAGGTGTTTTAAGTTTTACTTTAAAATTATAAATTTAATAAGTTTTGCTTCTTAAAATTGAAATTATAAGTAACAATTTATAATTTTTTTTACACTTGATTTGTAGATATTATGACCCCTCTCTGTTTGTGTGTCTATATATTACATAAGTCGGGTTAGGTTTACGTGAGACCAGCTTATTTTTGTGAGACCATTTTTTTACACTTGAAACAAACGCTGTGAAGGTAAAAAAACTGAACTTTCACAGCAAAAACACTGTGAAGTTACCTTCATAAGGTTTTTCTGTAAAGTTTCAAGTGTAAAAAACGGATCTTATGGAAACAAACTGGTCTCACGTGATCCCTTTAATTATTATTATTTTGAAGTAAAATGTCATTAGTTTTTTTTTTATTAACCTGAATATCCAACCCGCTATGCGAGCCGACTAATCTCAGGACGACCTGCTTTGCAGATAGTCCGGAGTCACCGTATTTGAAGGTCCGTGGCCACAAGGGGATTTTTATTCCTCATTGGATTTGAACATGAGACCTCCTGATACTTTTAAATTTGAATTATAGCGGGAGGAAAAAAAAACTAAAAACCACTCTAAATTCAAAGATATCAAATAATGTTGCAAGAGAGAGTAATATATAAACATGTGAAGATTCGAACGAAAACCTAATATTAGCCAATGAATGAATAAATTCCCTTCAAGTCAAACTTGGTCAATGGAAAACAATACTGTTACAATGATTTAGGGGTGTGTGTGTGTGTGTGTTTTCTTTATGTATGTACAAATACATCTGAGCGAGTGCTGTAAGAAGAGCACGCCTCATGATGATGTCTGCTGTGAACTTGGCATCGCGTAAAAGGAAAATTTAGCAAAAAAACTAGACAACATTCTTCTTCAGTTCAACTCAAGTAACACCACATTATTGTCTTTCTTTCCTCAACATTCAAGATCCAAACTCCCATCGGATTCAGTGTACGAACCCAACTTTCTATTTTTCTTCTTTATATATATATGTCAACTTGTCATTTTCATCTGGGAATGAAGCCAACCTAATTGTATGGTGGTGAGTCATTCTTTTGTCTAAGCAATTCCTTTTATGTATCTTCTTTCATACTTTCTCTTCTTTCGCCTGCTGTTGCTTTCGTTTTTTCTTTACAATATGTCTAGTTTTGGTTCAGACTGCATGCTTCAAAGCTGGATAACCTGCAACTTGCTAGGAAAAGCCTCTATTTTTGGTTCATGCCATTCTCTTTGCTTTCTTAGGCTATTCAATTCACAAGCCCAACAGCCGATTCAGAGCCATGTACACTGACCAATTCTGCATAGAAGACACACACACACACACACAATATATATACACATATATATATATGTATCCGTATATTGGATCTTGTGTACCTCTTGTTCCGTTTTCACACAAGCATGTTTGGTCTTTGCCAAAAAGATATCATGTTGTTTGCCATCTAGTTACATAATACATACCTGTGTGGCTTCTATTTCAACATGGCCATCATGTATATATAGTGCTCAGCAACTTAATGCCATTTTTCACTATATATGCATGAAACTTGAAGGTGGTACCTAGTAGTATTTGTAGAGCTCTCTCTCTCTCTCTCTCTCTCTCTCATTTTGCCTTCAATTTTCTCTTTCTGCCATGATTATCCATAGGCGATCATTTGTTTTCCCATTTACAAGTACAAAATTGCTAACATATACTTCAAATCTTCAAGATCAGAATATCTAGATCATTAGATCAACTTCATACAACAAAAGAGGTCTTCTTACTGACTTTTTAATTCAAGTTGTGAGGCTAAAAATGGTTTAATTAATAGTTTGATTTCGTTGTCTTTGAAATAATCTTGTCATGCTTTCACAAACCCTTGCCATCTGAAAACATCATGACATCTATTAATCGTTCTTCACTTCAATTCTGAATCTCTCTCGTCACTCATCAAAGCACACACTTCATGGGTTGTATTTTATAATTTGCATCTTCATAGCATCCTGTCAGCTGGAGAAACAAAAGTGGTAGAGGATCTTTATTCATAAAGACCATTCCCTCAGCTCAGGACCTTTCAGAAGCCATCGATCAAACTTTTGTTGCATCCCCGTTGATGTATCCCCAAACAAATACTCAAGTACAAGATTTGAACCTAGGACCTCCAGCTTGAGTAATTAGCCTAGTTGAATGCCTTGAAATAAATTAAAATTGCTGGTTTCCTCTTTAACTAAATTAATACTTTGTTTATGGATCATGTCTTGTCTTTGTCCTGCGGTCGGGTCGACGACGTGAATCTAATACTCAAAGATCATCAAGGAGCAAAGAAACAATTGTAAAAGATTTAGAGAAGCAATCAAACAGGAAAAAGTACATTATTAATAAAAACCAAAATCAACATTAATTAAGCTTGACAAGCAACTTTTGAACACCAATAAGGATAAAAATATAGATTAATTAAACACTTCCATTCCCTTGTTAATTATCTTGACAAATAAGAACAATCAAAATACGTACATACATAATTAAAGATATGTTATATGAATTACATGCATATATATCTACTTAAGGCAGCTTAGTCCAGACACATTTGATAAAACCACATCACCCATATTACGTTTATTTTGGACGGAAACTAGATCGTCTGACACTTTGATATTAGTACATACATTCTAGTCACAATATTAATATGCTTGCTTCTTAATTTTCTTCCCTTTTTTTTCACTGATGTAATTAGAAATTTGGTTTATGTTTCTTATATTAATTACTTCCAAAGATCAACCTGGCAAGTGGAGGTGGATATTGAAGCACATTCTGACGCCATTTCATCACTCTTAGAATCACTTAAAAGCAGGTTCATATGTTCCGCCATTTGAAGAGACGACGGAGGAGGATTGGAAGGATCTTGATCATTACTGAGCTGAGAAGCAACGAACTTATCAAGTACTCGCCAATCAGTCACTTGAAGATCGTGTTCACCATGGCTGCCATAAAGCAAGTTGATGTTCAACTGCTGAGTTGAGGGTTGAAAAGCAGCAGCAGGCTGTTGAATTTTGGGGGACTCTAATTGAGGAAGCTGGAGGAAGGAATGATCTTGGGGCAAGTTGTAGTGCAATTGATCGAGCTCAGATTTTGCTGGAAACTGTTGATGGTATGAACTACCTGACGTGTAAGGGTGGGATAATCGTCTTGGCGTTTCAAAATTTGGCATGAATGAGACTTGATCATCAAACCAGCACAAAGAATCGTGTTCATCCATCCTTCGTACAGTAGTTATTCGCTTCTTGAATACCCTACATACAACCCAACCTTCTTCCTGTTGCAAACAAAACAAAATATTTCACTTCATCATAAATTAATGAACATGTGTTATAAATACTTCTTGATTTTTGAGGTGGGTACCCAAAAATCAGCAAAAAGAACCAAATTAAAGCACGTTTTGATTTGAATATGTGTTGATCATATGCACACATACACACTACCATCTGTTTTCTTTTGAAGACAGAAAATGATAAACACCCATATTATAAGTACAAAAAATAGCTTCTTTTTCGTCTTAAACCTAAAATTGGATATCATATACACATTCCGCTTTTGGATTTTGAGTCTATGAAAAAGTTGCATAATTTTCGAAGATTCTTGAAATTCCTTGGTATGATCATGCATTAAACATCATATTCAAGTAACATTGTAATAAATCTAAGAAAAATTAAAGATATGATAGCAAGGTTATAAAAAAGATATGAAATAGCTTGCCTGAGTTGTTCCGGTTTCATTTGTTTCTAGTCTATACTCATGCATGATCCAATCTGATTTCTGCCCATTTGGAGCTCGACCTTTGTAAAACACCAATGTCTTTCTCATGCCAACTAGATTATGCTTTGAGTATATGGCCTTGTCTCTTCCGGTGGCTTTCCAAAAGCCGGCTTTTGTAGCTCTATTTGTACGAGTTCCTGTTGGATACTTTTTATCCTTGTGGCTAAAGAAGTACCACTCATTTTGCTCCTCGATTCCTAGCTTGCATAAATCTGTTCAAATAACAAAAAGATGGTTAAAAAAGAAGAATATCCTATGTACAAAGTGTTCAATTGGGGGCCTAGAAAGCCTTGCATCCATGACATAAGTAACACATAGTTAAGTTGCATTACACAACTCAGAAATGTATCAACAGATTGTTTCAGAATGCACATTTTCTGGAGCCTCTAATTACTTGACATGATGAACTGAAGCACCTTGAAGATCCCATGGCTCAATTCTATAGAGATCAATGTCTTTAATAACATCAAGATCAATTCTTTTTGATGCAATCTTTTTCCTGAGGTAGTAATCTACAAGTTCTTCATCCGTTGGGTGGAATCTAAAACCGGGAGGAACATGTGAAAAGTTATTCATACTCTGCAACTTATGATGATCGAAAATCTGCAATTGAGAAAATGTGCCATTAATAATTTTCAGTGGTTGAAGTATATACAAATATTGATCATGCATGCATCCTATCTTGCATGCAATTCTGAATATTTATCATCAATTGCATGTATATGTATGTATGTATGTATGTATGTAACAACTTGACTTAATTCCATTAAAGAGCAGACACTAAAATGACACTGAAGGTACATGTACTATGAAAATCACCAATTTACATCTATTTCATGCTTAATCCTGTTAGATGTTAAATAACAAGAAAGATAATGTTAAAACAAGGGGGAAAAGCCACACAAGAACAAAAAGGACAAACACTAAATTTGATAAGAAAATATGAATTCTTCTTTCTGTCAGCCTAACCCTAAACTATTTTCACCATTCTTGCTCAAAATCAACAAGGAAAATTCAATATATATATATATATATATATATGTGTGTGTGTGTGTGTGTGTGTGTGCTCAATGCCAAAAGTAGCTTTTCATCAAAGATATGAAAGGTCTAGGTTTTATCGTTGTAGGATGCTCTTAATTTTTCTCAATTCCTTCTGAAGGTCATCTTTAACCTTGGTTACCTGGCTGTAACTTTGAGGGATCCATGAACCAATCAACTATAAAGGTTCTTACTCTTCAAACCACTACGAACCATGAATAGAAGCTCGTTTCTAATTGTGCTCACATGAGTTTAACTCAGCATGAGAATCCACAAGAGCAAGAAAATATGTAGGCAAATGTGTGTACCAAGTGGCTTAATTGAAACTCTATATAGAACCTTAACTTATGAGTTTAAGTTCCCTAGAGAAATCAGCATATTACTTCTTTTTTAACTTTAAAAATTGGAGAAACCGTGTATGGTAGAACACACACACACACACACATATATAGATCTCATATGAAAAATGAAATTCTATGTATTTGCCATGCATTCTCATGAAGAACCCTTTTATTACTTGATAATCAAGATAAAACAACTCGAGTATGTTTTTTTCTCGAGGAACCACTCAAGTCTTTCACCACTCAACAAAAAGTGAAAACCTGATAATAATGCACAATCAAAATACACAAGAACTTTACTTTGTTAACATGGAAATATGCTCAATTTTATACATATATAGTAATAATTTGTCCCCCGCCCCCCAAAAAAATCTCTTATGGAGGATCTAACAAGATGAACTTTCATGAAACTGATAAGACGACATTCTTGTCATGAACTAATTACGAGAAGTGAACCTAACAAAAAAGAGTGAATAAATCAGAAATTGTTACCTACTAGAAGTCCTTATTGAACATCACAAATCTATGGAAAAACCGGATCATGGAATAAATTTTTGCATTCAAAATCATCATTCCAAGAAAGAAAAGGTGGTTTAATACACATACACACATAGCTAGAAAGAGAAGCTTGAAGATGAAGATGTACAAGAATAACAAGAAAACCTTGGAACTGACAAAGTTCTTCACTTAGATCGATCCTGTTCTTCTACAAATGGCTGAAGAGAGAGATTTTTTCCGCATGAGTGTCTTGAACCTCAACAACTAATTAATAAACAAGCAAAAGAAGACCAAAAAGGAAATCACAGAAGGAATGTTTGTGGACCAAAAAAGGGTTTTAATTCCCTCGGGAATTGAAGCGGAAAAAAACTTGTCTTTTTGTCACTCAGAAATGGCATCAGATCCCAAAGAAGTCAAACCCTAATGGTAACACAAACTGAAAGAATGAAGATAAGAGGTTCTCACTTAGTTTATAGTAGTGTATGAAAGAGAGGTTGATTGGGTATGGAGGAAGAGTTAGCTGGATTGTCGGAAAAGCTTCCCGTGAAAAAAGGGAGGAAGATGATGATGCGGCGGTGATATACTACTCCTCCACACCACCCACCACCAGCTTCTGATGGTGATGTACCGCACCAATTTATATTAGATTCACAACTAGATTTTAATGGTTTTTCTGACCACTTTCTTTCTTTCAATTCTTTGAGATATTTAGAGAGAGAGAGAGAGATGAGTGAGGTTTAAGAATGTGATGGCATGGATCACTTAAAGAATCCCCACACCCACACACACACCCGACCAAAAAGAATGTTTAGGAAGATTTCCTCTTTGGGGGTCTTCAGTTTCAAACTTTCAATTTATAACATGACTATACAATATAATTTTATTGTTTAATCATATTCTTTTTCTGTGTAAACACTAGGTAATAATTATTACTTATCCATTTTCATTTTACCATAATTAAATATTGTGGACCTTATTTCAATTCTCACCCAGCTTTTTCATCTTCCCATCAATAATTTCTTGACTGAATTCTAAAATGCTTCATACAACTTGCATTTCTCTTCAATTTGATATAAAGTTGTCACTTCTTTATCTATTTTAACCAAAACTGTTACAACAAGACCGTTAAGTTAAGAATAAAGGGAAACAAAGCCATTTATCTTCATCAACTCACAAATAATAACATGTGCAAAGTGATCAATACATCTTACTGGAAATGAAGTTGGATTGACAAAATTCATACAGAACGTGTGGAGCAAAATGAAGAAAGCAAAAATATTGATCGGGGCGACTCCAACTTACTTGTTGTGTCTTATTGTTGTGTCTTAATGTGTGCATATGTGTTGTTCGCTTGTTCAGCTAAAATGTTAGTTTAATGATACAGAAGCTCAAAGCATTTAATTACACATCAAAAAAAAAAAAAAAAGCAATGAAGATGTAAAGATAAAAAGAATTAAAGAAACTAAAGCTTAAGTTTTTTTTTGACATGAAAAGCCTTTGGCAATGGTAAGTTGCTATGTGATATCGACTCTTCTTAATGCCAAAAGTTAGTTTAAAAGAGGTTGTAAAAATTAATAACATATATAAATATATCATTTTTGAAAACCGGACGATATACAAAAAGTACAATTTTATGTAATGATGTATGATTCCTCTCATCTATGAATGCATATTCTATGTATTTTATTATTTTGTAGTTAACATGTAGCTCTATATATATTTTTTATAATATGCTGTGACGAAATTAAGGGAGAGAAAATATATATAAAAATTAAGGGGTAAACGAAACTTGTACCAATAATTAATAGGATAGCTTAATGTATATGACTTGTTATAGAGTGAATTAAACATTTTGAACATATGTCCCTCTATGCATTACTAGAGAAAATGTGAGCCTTTATGGACACCAATGAGGAATTGTAGAAGAGTATTGAAATTGAGGGTATTTTTTGTAATAATTGGTTAGTTTAAGGTGGGCAACTGACTTTTGGCCATATATAAAGGAGTTTCAGTCTCACCAGCAACCTCACGCGCTGTCTGGTTGGTCGCCCTGCTATTTCTTATTATTTCTTTTCACACGCGCCATCTGCCCCCACAAACCGACCAATCAGTTTCGAAGGAGACACCTCTCCAATACCAAAAAAGTAATTTTTCAAAAAATAAGGAAATATAATTTAATTTAAATGCGAAAATAAAATTATCTTTAAGGTAAATTTTGTATGAATTATTATTACTAGTTGTGTATCCATCTAATGCGACGTGAGTTGTGAATTTCAACTATTTTGAAGTTTTACTGGTTTTATTAGAAAGATTTAACGATGATATAAGTTACATTTGGTCTTTACATAGTAATGCAATTTGAATAAATAAGAGTTATGATTTCAATTACAGTCTATAGATGGAAAAAATTGTATGTTAGTTTAAAATCCAATATATTTAAAATCCAACATATTTAAACGACTCCATAAATGTGTTTGATTTACACCAAGAGCAAAAAAATAAGAGATGGAGAGCGAGACCGAGAATTCTAGAGCAATGAAATGGAAGATGAATGAGAGAACTTTTAATAACTCATGATTAATATCAGTTTGAATTTCACCTTGCGGGATGAGTAAAAGACATAGAGGTATGAAAGGGTGAAGGCATGAGTGAAAGGTGTCAAAAGTATCTTGGAAACGTGAAAAGAAAAAACGATAATGTGCATTGGTAACTTGTACTATATGTTATTTTAATTATAGATTTAAATATTTTAAGACTAAATATATAAAGTAGTAGTACTTAATGCATTATGAGTTGTTTTTAAAACTTTTAAGATTTTGTGCATAAATGTATAGTACTTTGTGAATTAAAAATTGTTTTTAAATCTTTTGATAAATCTGGTTTATAAAGTAGTATAGATAACAATTTCAAAAATATTTTATGATATTTATTACAACCATTTAAAAAAAGATTTTATTTTTAAAATAAAATATTTCATTTTTGTAAATATTGAACTGATAGAAAACAGTATACGATTCCTACCGAGAAGACTTGCACCGAATTAATTAATTTGAAACAATTTCCATCAAATCATTTTAATAAAGTGAAAGTTGTAGTAACTAATAAACTACATTGGCTTAAACGGCTTCGGCTGTGTTGGCTTGTGTTTATTAGTGGAACGTGGACCCCACGAACAGGAATTAATGATGTGATCAAGGGTGTCTTTTTTGGGTACGTGACGGCTCGTAGTTCGGCTTGTGCTGGCCACTTATCATTAACCGGTTATATGGTAAAGTAAATAAATATTTTATCATTAAGATAAAACATTTGTAGCTGGATTTTTTATGGTTTTATTATGAGTCATGTAATATAATATTTTATAAAATAGTAAATATAACTTGTGGATTAAAGATGTTTTTGATGGTAGTGGGAGCCACCCCATGGGCATGGTCCATGGTTATTCCCAGGCCGCCACGTGTAATATTTAAGGAGTTAATGGTGTGGCTTAGTTAGTGCGCTGTGCTTCTGCGTGCAGATAAGTTAATCAACGCTTTTACTTTTGGAAAAAGTTCCATATTTATATGCACATATTTATGTTAACATTTTGATAAAAAATAATAATTAAATTTTCAAGATTAAAATATTTACAAAGCATTAAATATAAACCCTTAAAACATTAAAGGATACTGTATTTAGAAAAAAAAAATTGATTATTGATAACCTCAACAGTATCATGAGAAATGTTCCTCCAAATATATCAATATGAAGGAATATATATTTGTTTCGCTTAACGGTTGAAGCTAGCAAGAGACTTGTGAACGAACCCTTAATCTATCGTGTATATGAGCTAAGTTATTTCATATATTTGTCAATTGAACTAGACAACAGCGGCCGTTAAGGGTTATTGTATGATGAAATTTTTCTATGCATCTAATTTAAGTATTTGTTTTTTATTTTCTTTTATGTTAAAAAAATAAAACCATTTTTAATTTAAAAAAAAAAATAGTATAACCACCGATTAGAATTGATGGTATCCAACGATCAAACACAAAATTTCATTTTTCTTATCGTACATTTTCTTATCAACATAAATGCAATACTTAAGTTAAAACGCATTTTCATAACATCATTTGCTTATTATTTAAATATTTGAAATTATTTTTCGCAAGAAAAATATAATGTATGAAAAAACAATATTACGGATATTATGTAATGATTAATAATTTATATGTGGTTACAGGACGTTTTCTTAAAAGTGTCGTATAAATACAAGTGTTATATAAAAAGATGGGTTTACAGGACACTTTTTCAAATGTGTCCTATAAAATAGCCTAATGTGACGTTTTTGTATTAAACATGTCCTAAAAAGTTTGTTAAGACCTTAAAAGCGTCATATGAACTTATATAATGTCTTGAGATAGAACGTTTTATTTTCTGGTCCTATAAATTAAGTATTATAAAACAGTCTGTTAGGACGCTTATTTATTGGTGGTGTTTTATAAACCTAATTTGTTGTAATTACCTCAAGAAAATGAAGATAAAAATTGGATTTCTTTTTGTTATTTCTTGTAACAAAATTCACTACAACAAAATTGGGGTTTATAGGACGCCATCAATTTCAAAGCATCTTAATAGTCTGTTTTATACGACTCATTGTAAAGGACCAAAAAAAATAAAAGAACCATATCTAAAGGTATTGTAATAAATTTGTAGGACATTTCTAGACGTCTTAACAAGTTTTTTATAATACTTTAATACAGGGTCTCATTAGTTATTTTATAGGACACTTCTAAAAATGTCCTATAAACTCATTGTTTTATAGGATGTTTGTTTTTAAAAGATACTTTTTCAAATAATATTGTATAAAATAACTAATATGACATTTTTTATTAAAAGTGTCATAAAAACTTGTTAAGACGCCAAAAAATATCGTATAAACTTATTGCAACGTCTTTAGATAGAATTTTTATTTTTTAGTCCTATAAAACAGCCTATTGAAAAACTTTGAAATCGGTGGCATCCCATAAACTCAATTTTGTTATATTGTAAATATTAACTGTTGTAGGATAAATGTGTGATCATTTAAAAGATATGACAATATACATAGAGACAGACATATTAGAATTGATGTATTACCTACTTGTAACTCACTCATTTAAAGAGCTTATGGTTGATGAAAATATTAGATCCATGATCTATGTTCTACTATTGTTCTATTTCTTTTTTTCCTATAATATGTTATCAACACGCAAACTCAATATTTATTGTCCGTTGCCACTAAGCGATTGTTCTGTCTGTTGTCTCACACGGTTCAATAGCTTGTTTTCCGCTATTTCAAGAGCATCAGTAAGTCTTCTCTTTTTAAATATGTGAATATTCTAAAATTATATTAGAAATTAAAAATAGTTTGTGGTTTGATCTATAATATACTTTTATTATATTTTTATTGTTGATATGAATCAAATTGAAGAAAAGAAAAAGTCCAAATCAAATTCA